TTGTTAGTTCATTTGATTCCTTGAAATACCTTCTTTTTCAAATGTTACGTTATACCATTCAGAAACGTATAACAACCCTGAAAATTTGATTTCTTATTGAAATAAAAATCTAAATTGAGTCAGAAAGGTGAGCCTGCTATAAAAATGATCTATGACAAGGTTACACAACTCAGTCCTGCCAATGAGTTCATTTAAAATAAAACTAGATTTTAAATCATAAATTAAATTTACTTAATGATAATAACTGCAAGATGCCCAGCCCCTGAGCTGTTGGCTTTCAAAAACTGTGGCCCGCTGAATTTATTTTATTTATTTTAGTTATCCTGCATAATTTTTGATTACCGGTACTTTATTTTTTAGAAGAAACACACACAAGTTCAAGTTGTGTTTATTTGTCATATGCAAGGTTAACAGTATACAATGAAATGTTTAGGATGAGAAGAACCGATTTGACTCGCTTAAAAAAAATCAAAGAACAAATAGGAAATACTAAAGCAGGCAATAAGGGTGCAAAGATAAAGTACTAAAAAGTGGGAAAGTAATTATAATATTTACAAGGCCCTAAAGCACATAAACTCAAGGCCCGGGGGCCAAATGTGGCCCTCCTTGACATCTTATCTGGCCTCCAAGATGATATGTTAAACGCAAAGTACTTTTTTCACCCGATTTATTTTCAGTAATCTTTGATCATGATGTCAAAATTGGAACAGAAATGTCAAATGACACCAATCAAACTCTTTTTGAGGAACCTGCAACCAAGAAAAGATGGTGGGTATCAGACTTGAGTTAATGTAGATTCTGAAACTGGTCCTTAGTTTGAAAAAGATTTTAATTTTGGCCCCCTTTTGTAAGTGAGTTTGACACCCCTGTCCTAAAGAGAGATAGTAAACAACAACATGGTAGAATATAATGGTGCAAGCAGGATGAATTTAAATGAATAAGTATTTCAAGGTAGTAATATAAGCTAAAATGAACATTATATATATATATATATATATATATATATATATATATATATATA